ATGAATGAACTAATGAACAAATGAATGAATGAATGAATGAACGAACAAATGAACGAACGAATGAATGAACGAACTAACTAAAGAACAAATGAATGAATGAATGAACGAACAAACGAATGAACAAACAAACGAACGAATGAATGAACGAACTAATGAACAAATGAATGAATGAATGAATGAATGAACGAACAAACGAACGAACAAACAAACGAACGAATGAATGAACGAACTAATGAACAAATGAATGAATGAATGAATGAATGAACGAACAAACGAACGAACAAACAAACGAACGAATGAATGAACGAACTAATGAACAAATGAATGAATGAATGAATGAACGAACAACCGAACGAACAAACAAACAAACGAACGAATGAACGAACTAATGAACAAATGAATGACTGAATGAATGAACGAACGAATGAATGAACGAACTAACTAAAGAACAAATGAATGAATGAATGAACGAACAAACGAATGAACAAACAAACGAACGAATGAATGAACGAACTAATGAACAAATGAATGAATGAATGAATGAATGAACGAACAAACGAACGAACGAACTAATGAACAAATGACTGAATGAACGAAGAAAGGAACGAACAAACGAACGAACGAATGAATGAATGAATGAATGAATGAATGAATGAATGAATGAATGAATGAACAAACGAACGAATAAACAAATGAACGAACGAATGAACGAACTAATGAACAAATGAATGAATGAACGAACAAACGAACGAACTAATGAACAAATGAATGAATGAATGAATGAACGGACTTTAAAGGAACTAATGAATTGATAAAATGAATGAGTTGAGTTTTAAAATGTGTGAATGAATAAACAAACGAATTAATTAATAAATGAATAAAAATAAAATGAATGAACAAATAATTTTAATGAAGTCTGAATAAATAAATAAAAATGTTTAAAATGAATAAAGAAACTATTAAATTAACAAACAAATAAAATTAATGAACAAATATTTTAATGAATTCTGAAAAATAAATAAAAATGTTTCAAATGAATAAATTAATTATTAAATTAACAAACAAACAAACACAATTAATGTATAAATATTTTTTACAAATAATGAATGAATTAATGAAAATTAATGAAAGGAATGCACATTTTAAACAATGAATATATTAATGAATAAATAAAACAAGTAAATAAAACAAAATATTTTTGTGAAGGATGGAATAAATGGATGATTTTTTTAAATGAATGAATGAAAGAAGTGAATAAATAATCAAATGAATGAACAAATGTTTTTAAATGAACAAATAAATAAAACTAACATTACACATAAATCACCCAAAAATATAATAAAAACAAATAAATGTTTTTTTTAAATAATGAATGTTTGAATAAACAATTATTAAATGAGCAAATACAAAAATAAATAAATAAACAAATACATTAATTAATTAATTAATTAATTCAAACATCTGTCTCTCCCTAAGCGTGCTTTTCTTTTGCATAAAAGTGAATACATGTATGCATTCATATATGTGTAAGTATTAAGTAATCTGTGTGATACAGACATAAGAAACTGAATGTACAGTCAGCCAGACACGGTCACAAAATAAACCCTTTCATGAGTTGTGGGGTCACTGTAAAGCATCAAGGACACTGGGTTCAGAATCAGCCCAGATCTGCTTCGGAGCTGATGGGAGATTCACAGATTCATCCCGATAGGAGATGTTGAGTCACGCCGCTGCGAGGAGACTGACCCGCGGTGAGCGAACAGGTCGGTCAGCGGAGCACTCATTATATAACGTGAGGTGACTCTGCCTCGCTGATTTCCCTGCATTCAGCTAAATGTTTGAATAAACAATTATTAAATGAGAAAATACAAAAATAAATAAATACATTAATTAATTAATTAATTAATTCAAACATCTGTCTCTCCCTAAGCGTGCTTTTCTTTTGCATAAAAGTGAATACATGTATGCATTTATATCTGTGTAAGTATTAAGTAATCTGTGTGATACAGACATAAGAAACTGAATGTACAGTCAGCCAGACACGGTCACAAAATAAACCCTTTCATGAGTTGTGGGGTCACTGTAAAGCATCAAGGACACTGGGTTCAGAATCAGCCCAGATCTGCTTCGGAGCTGATGGGAGATTCACAGATTCATCCCGATAGGAGATGTTGAGTCACGCCGCTGCGAGGAGACTGACCCGCGGTGAGCGAACAGGTCGGTCAGCGGAGCACTCATTATATAACGTGAGGTGACTCTGCCTCGCTGATTTCCCTGCATTCAGCTTTAATCTATGGCCACGGCTGGCGGTAATCCTAAAGGTCAGGCGAACAAACACGGCAAAATGAATCCACTGACGAAAGACACGAGGCTTTGTGGCATATGTGGGGGGCGAAGCCAGTTATTGAAAGGAGAAATAATGATATTAAGAAAGAAATGAAGGGCAATAAATGAGTCGTGCTCGTATCTCTCCAGCCCAGGCCTCGATGAAACCAGAAGAAAAGACTAATCACACTGATGATGTCAGAGGGGGCGGGTCATACAATTCAGCTCAAAGTTCATTGGCTGCTTCCACATGATTGACTTCCCATTAAAGTGCACATTTTTTAAACTCAGCTGGACATTTATGAATAAAAGCAACGCAAAGAGTTTTTTAAAATTTGATTTAGAATGATTAATGCATTTGTGCACTACTTTAAATTATAGACTTTTACAGCTTTATTATATAAATTATAGACTTTTACAGCTTTATTATATAAATTATAGACTTTTAAATTATATTTCTTTTTCAAATAAATTATGTTCTTTTGGACTTTCTATCAGTTTTATTTAGTATGAGATATAGAAATTTTACTATCATTTTTATTAATATTTTGAAGTACTTTTTATTTGTATATTTTTCATTTTAATATACATCCAATCATAAAAATAGCCAATCATAAGAGACATGATTCATTTATTAACTCATTGAAGTCTTAAAGCTACAGTAACAAAAACCTGTTTATTATTGGCCAGAGAGAGGATGGAAAATGCTTATGAAGAACTAAGTTACAACCAAGAAAGCTTCACTAGCAATATAACTGGAGTTCAGGAGAACAAAATAAAATACAAACATCTAGAAAGACCCTAATAAGTGTAATCACCATATATAATATCATCTGACACAAAAACAAATGCATTTGTGACTCTGCCGTGATGTGCTTTCATTTCCTACATTCATTCATCTTTACAGGCAACTCTGGAGCACATTGAAAATAGATATTTTAGGCCTAAATTTAAGATTTATGCATTTAAAAAGTATGAACATGTTAAATTTGGCTAGCTGTGTAACATGCACTATTTAATTAGTTAAATGAGATTGAAACAAATGGGTTTGATCAATTATAAACATACAGGTATATATACAGTATAACCCAATTTATGCTGTATAAACATAGTAGTTAAAAACACATTTACTTGATAAGTAATATTACAGAAATTTTACCAGTATCATCTATGTATGCCTAACAAATATGCATCACATTAAGTTTATTAGATAGTTTATGTTAAGCTGTGTAAACCAAATGGATGGACATTTTATATGCAACTCATTTACATCAATCTTAAATTTAGACCTAAAGATTTTCAGTCTGAGCTAAAGGCATTGACTGTCCTGATCATTAGTGTTATAATGACTCTCGGTTTCACTCACCCACAGCTGGTTTCCAGCAGACTGTCTCCCACCTGCAGGGATGCCATGCCGAAATCTGCTATCCTGATGTTATTCTTCTCATCCAGCAACAGGTTCTCCGGCTTCAGGTCCCTGTGACTGTACAAGAGCAAATGAGATGTGAAAACTGCGGCTTGAGTTCTCACAGTAACACTGTATATTACAGTATATTTGGCCTTGTATCAGCTAGACTAGTTGTGTCTCTGAACTTGTAATGAGATGCTTTTCAATGATCTCTGTTTCTCTCTTTCAGCACTACTAGTCTACAAGAGCCTGTGGGAGCCCGTCATGACAGATGAATGAATGAATGAATGAGTTTTTTTATGAGATAGTGTGTCAGATAGTGTGTTCAGATGTGTCAGAGTGTGATGTTAAGTGCTCATCTGACCACAGGCGGACATGAATTAGCAGCTTCCAACCATTCAAAACTTTCTCTTAATTAATTTGCTGCCCCATTTTTTCACTGTGTGAAGCAAGATGATTTTGTACAAAAGAAACAAAAGTATTGTAAAAAACAAACAAACAAAGGAAAAACAAAACAAAAAACCCAAGCAAGGCAAAACAACACAAAACAAAGAAAAATAACAAAAACAAAAAACAAAACCAAAAAACAAAGTAAAACAATACAAACAAACAACGAAACAAAAAACAAAGCAAGGCGAAACAGTACAAAAAAAAACACAAAACAAAGCAAAATAACAAAACAAATATAAAAAACAAAAAGCAGAGCAAAGCAAAAAATTTAATAAACAAGCAAAAACAAACAAAAAACAAAGCAAAACAACACAAAGAAACAACAAAACAAAGCAAGGCAAAACAATGCAAAACAAAAACACAAAACAAAGCAAAATAACAAAACAAATATAAAAAACAAAAAGCAGAGCAAAGCAAAAAATTTAATAAACAAGCAAAAACAAACAAAGTGAGGCTAATTTCAATGCCTCTGGTCTGCAGGTTAATGGAGAAACGGGGCAAATCGAGCTGCATGTTAGTTTAGTTTTTGATAGTATCAGGTTTGTATTTGCCGCTGAGGCACCAAATGTTTCCCTCAGTCCACCATGAGCTCTTAAATTGCATATTTATTGGCCCAGTGATAGTTTAAAATTGTAACGCACATGTTGTTATGTTGCTTGCTGATAGAGATCTGCATTTAAATGATGCTTAATATATTTTTTATGGTTACAATCAAAACCGCAGTTCTGGCTGAAGTGTTTCTTCCTATAAAAAGCTCATAAAGAGTATCTGTTCAGCATCTGCACGTCGAAGGATTGCTGTATTTATTATTATAAATACAAACGTGGTGGGAAACGTGGCCTGCTGGGTCGTGCCGGTTCTGATGTGTTGTGTTTTGGTGCTTATCTGCAGACGACAGAAGTTTAAACTCAACTTCATTTCTGAAAGCAAGCCATCCTGCTACCTTCATGTCTTCTCTAGACTGTCATATTTAACAAAACAGCAAAAAGTTCATTTGGAATGAATGAATGAATGCAATTAAAGAATACATTTTTAAATGAGTGAGATGAATGAACACGTATTTATAAAGAAATAAATTGGCCCAATTAGCACTCAAACAAGCTTTACATCATTGTAATGTAAAGAGCAGCAGGCGGCACATGCAATAGGACATGATCTATCTTAATCACATGCTGTTCACAGCGGTCTAATTATGAGAGAGTTTAATTACAGAACATGTACTGTATACATGTTTAGTGGTGCTTTGGCTTTTCTGCATGCTGGCTATTTAATGTTGGCTAATTTACTTTCTTAATGCGCATTCCTGGTATTACGTGCACAGTTTCTCGGTCCACACTGAGCTCAAGAACACTTTCTCCACTCAGTGGCATACTACAAAATTCGAAGACCCTCTGTAAAGGGTGCCGCCCAAAATTTATGACATCATGCATTTATATCAGGTGCGAAATAGCGGAATATTAGTTTTAACCAACAGGTGCCAGTGGTGCAACTCTCAACAATTAACTGCAAACTCAATTAACTGCATTGCCAATAGATAAAATCAAATCATGTACCACTTTTTTTTTTAAAGTCATAGTTAAAGTCACAAAATTTAAATTTGCTGACAATTTATGCAGTCTCAGGCCATCCAAGATGTAGATGAATTTATTTTTTTTACAGTATAGGATTTGGAGAAATGTTACATTGCATCATTTTCTCACCAATGGATCCTCAGCAGTGAATGGGTGCCGTCAAAATGAGAGTCCAAACAGCTGATGAAAACATCACAATAATCCACACCACTCCAGTCCATCAATTAACATCTTGTGTAGCGAAAAGTTTTTGGCACAATTTTAATTTATGAGTTTGTAATCCATAAGAACGCTTTCTCCATTGAAAAAAGCTGTCTTGCCTGAATCAGGAGAGAAATATGCACAGAAGCGAAAGTTAAACGCCGAAAGTTAAACATATTAAAGGTGGAATTGTTTCTTACAAACACACAGCATTCGACTTTTCAAGTCATTAATTGATGGACTGCAGTGGTGTGGATTGTGGATTATTGTGATTTATTTATCAGCTGTTTGGCCTCTCATTCTGAGGGCACCCATTCACTGCAAAGGATCCACTGGTGAGCAAGTGATGTAATGCTACATTTCTCCAAATACTATGAAGAAACAAACATTGCATTTTGACAGCAAGACAAAAGTGATCGTATTTTTCCACCAAAAGCCAAACATGATGATTATCATCCATTACCACTGACAGTTTTCCACACATTCCCTGAATTGACAACTGGGATTTCACAGTGGGATCCAACACAGTGGTAACCTACAAAATCATTACAAGAATCGAGATCTCATCCGAAACGTTCTCTAGTGGCACATAAAAACCTTATAACACAGCTCTGCACTCAGAAGATCAAATAACAGAAGCAAAGAAAGTGCATTTGTGCTAATTTCAGATTTATTAAACAATCTCCTTGTGACTCTTATTTCCACTGAGGGATCGAGGGAGTGCTACTCTACAGATCTTCATATCTGGCCGTTACTTCTGAGTGTCAAGTGAGGCAATATTGGAAGAATCGGTAAAAATGGATTGGGTGAGTTTGTCCTTTCAGACAGACTGCTTGTTATATATGTATACTCTGCCTGACAGCTGTTGTCATACATGGACTCTATTAGTAGGTATATTTGGAGGAATATTCATGTCTAGCAACTCCAGAAGGACGGTTTCGTAGGTGGACAGAAAGACACTGAATGACTGAATGAGCAGTCAGCCTTCAGCTATTAAAACGTCTAAACCGTTCATGCTTCGAATAGCCATGTCAATCTGTCCATCACAATAAAAAACCAGCACCCATTTAAAAAAAGTGTTTATATTTCAGGATAGAATATGTGTGGATGGTAGAACATGTGCTCTGTTCCAAAACTGATACGTAACCTTAAAAGTCACTGACTTATGAAGCAGCAGCTTTAAGGACCGGCAAATAGCCCTAGACGCAACAGATTCAAATGGAGTTTGACATTAGCATGTTGCTATGCTAAAAACATGATAAGGTGTGTAGTAGAGGTCTCTCCCGTGGGAACCGACCGGATTTTTTGCGCCGCGGGATTAAATTCCCGAATAAAACGCGGTAGCGGTCGGTAACTCTGAATAAAAATTTGTATATTTTTATTTTCTCTGACACTTTGTTTCATACTGTGTTGCATAAAATATTAAACGAATTTTGTGTCTTAAGATAATTCATATAAATACAAGTCAAAGTCAATAAATTCAAGACTCTTGACAAGACGAATAAAATACCATACAATTTTGTGCAGACTACACTTTTAACAATTTAAATGTGAGATTCTGGAAACGAGATCTAAATTTAGCAGGAACGGTCGGGTCGGGAAGAAAATTATTCTAAGCGGACAGCAGGTGAACAAAGAGTGAATATATAGCGGGAGCGGGTGGGTGCAGAATAGAACCTTGCGGAAGTGGGACTAAAAAACCAGTCCCGCGCAGACCTCTAGTGTGTAGGTGGACCAAAAGTCTTATTTTTCCTGGACATGTCCTGTTTGGGATTTCTAAATTGCCTAATAATTGGTTTTGGATTTATTTTCCTATTGTTTTCATACTTGCTGAAGATAACGACTGAAAAGTAGTTTGACCAATAGCGTTCCCTCACACGAAACTCTCGACTGTGCAGATTCCTATTTAAATGACTGGATGTCACCTGCAAAATTTAGTCAAATAAGTGTGAACATACCTATACTCTATATTGAGCATACAAATCCACAACACTAAAAATGGGGAAAATAGTAAATGTTTTAATTGAGTAAATAATTTCTATTGACACTGGAAATTAAATGTTCAATGAGTGGTGCTAAAATGTTAATGCTCGATTGCAGAAAACATGAGATAAAAATGTTTTTGCTGAAGCAACCATGTTATGTTAACTTGCTTCTTGTGTTTACTTGTGTTTAACAAGACTCACAAGTGTTGCTGTACCGGGTGCGCTACAGAGCAAGTTTACTACATTAGAAAAGCTATACATATGAAGCTGTTACATGATTCAAACATCAAACTTGACTGATTTACAAATCATGCACAATGGTAATTGTTTTCAGGTTACTATTGTGCAAGAAACTTCCCTAAAGTAAGTCTTTATTAATCGCTAGCTGCCCTTGTAATCATAATTTGTGTGAAAAGGAATAAAAGTTGCTGGTGTTTCACCGCCATTAGTGTTCACTTCAGCTGGAAACTGTAGTGAATGTATGTTTTTGGAGTTTTGCAAAAATGTTGCAATGGGCACATTTTTCCAACGTTGCACAATTAATATGTATATCACCATAACGTATCAATTAACCCAAAAAAGGTGAAAGATTGAGGTGAAAATGATTGCAATTATGCATACAATGGTTAATTAGTGTAATTAATGCACATACTTAAGCATAAATATGCTGCCTACCATTTGGACCAGCCGTCACACACACCTGTGATGCCTTAAAATGCTGTCTAAGCAGGTTTCAGAAATTATAATATATAAGATGTGCTTGCAGGCAAAGCGAACAATAAAGAAAAGACAGACAACAAAAAGACAGACAGATTGCAAGACAAACTGCGAGACGAATAATGAAATGGGAAAGGACGGAAGTGTAAAAGTGAACACTGGGTGGGTATTTCTCCCATCATCCCCTGCTGACTGTCCCAGCATGAGATCAGAGGGGCCGGGTGGCTCTCAGTCACATATGAAGTAAGCAAACAGCCGGGGAAGTGTGACAGCATGACAGGAACATTTCTCATGGCTGCTGCAGCATACTGCCCTACTGCTGCTCTGCGTGAGGCCTGCAGCTCTGAGAAATGAAGCAGGGACCAGAGACGGCAAGACACGGAGTCTGTGGGGCTCAGCAGACACACTAAAGGTGCACAAAAGAGAGCTTTATTGCTGATCTGAGATCAGAGTGTGGCTGCCATTCATCATCACATGGTGTGCATGATGGTGTGGGTTTATAACAGAAAGATTGTGTTGAGATTGCATGTTTTATTTTTGTTAACTTTACACTTTCTTGTTTTATTTAATTTTATATCTTTTTATTTTTCCATTTGCACTATTTAAGTGTATTTGTCTCATCAAATGTATTTATACACACATACACACACACACATTGAGAGAGAACTGATGCAAAAGTACTGGTACCATGGTTTGTTTGCATTTGTTTATGTATTATTGTTTTTATTTAGCTAGCCCATTTACCATGGTAACACCATCATACAGTGCATCCGGAAAGTATTCACAGCGCTTCATTTTTCCACATTTTGTTATATTACAGCCTTATGCCAAAATGGATTAAATTCATTATTTCTCAATTCTACAAACAATACCCAATAACGACAATGTGAAAAGTTTTTGAAATCTTTGCAAATTTATTTAAAAATAAATAAAAATCACATGTACATAGGTATTCAATACTTTGTTGAAGCACCTTTGGCACCAATTACAGCCTCAAATCTGTTTGGGTACGATGCGACAAGTTTTGCTCATCATCATTTGGCAATTATCTGTCATTCTTCTCACCTCTTCACCTCTCAAGCTCTGTCAGGTTGGATGGGGGCAGATGCACATTTTCAGGTTTCTCCAGAAATATTTGATTGGGTTCAAGCTCAGGCTGTGGTTGGGCCACTCAAGCACATTCACAGAGTGGTCTATGAGCCACTCTTGTTGTGTGCTTAGGGTCATTGTCCTGTTGGAAGGTGAACCTTCTGCCCAGTCTGAGCTTCTGAATGCTCTGAACTAGGTTTTCATTAAGGCCCTCTCAATATTTTGGTGCATTGAGCTTTTCTTCTAGTCTGATGAGTCCCTCAGTCCCTGCCGCTGAAAAACAGCCCCACAGTATGAGGCTGCTACCAGCACACTTTACTTTTGGGATGGTACTCTGCAGGTGATGAGCAGAGCTGGATTCCTTCAAACATGATGCTTAGAATTGAGATTCATCAGACCAGAGACTTTTATTTCTCATAGTCCGAGAGTCTTTTAGATGCTTTTTTGCAAGTTCCAAGTGTGTTTTCATGTGTCTTCACTGAGGAGAAGATCGCGTTTGGCCGCACCACCATAAAGCCCAGATTGGTGGAGTGTTGCAGCGATGTTTGTCCTTCTGTAGCTTTTACCTATCTCCACATATGATCATGGAGCTCAACTAGAGTGACCATCAGCTTCTTGGTCACCAGTCTAGACAAGACCCTTCATCAACTGCTCAGTTTGGCCAGGAGGCCAGCTCTCGAAAAAGTCCTGGTTGTTTTAAACTTCTTTCATTAAGGGTAACAAAGACTACATTCTTCTGTGAACCTTCAATGCTGCAGACGTTTTTCTGTACACTCAACAATCCTGTCTCAGAGGTCTACAGACAATTCCTTGGACCTCAAGGCTTGGTTTGTGCTCTGACATGCACTGTTAACTGTGGGACCTTATATAGACAGGTGTGTGCCTTTCCAAATCATGTCCAATCAACTGCTTCAGATCATAAAAAAGGTAAGAATGAGATGGTTCTTTGACTGAATGGTAAAAAATGAGTGTAGCAGGATAGATAATGAATGACTGGACAAAGAAAGAAAGAAAGAAATAAAGCTCTCTTGCCACAAATAGAGATCTTGGCACAGCCTGTAGTGGCTTATTGCTTTAATTGCCTCAATCTGAGAACACGACCATCATGATTTTCATTAAAACACATTAACATATTCAGGAATGACTGCTCACACTCACCATATTGAGTGACTGTGGCAGAAGTCCAGAGCTGAGATGATCTCGGAAACAGGATGCACCTGAGCTCAATTTTGAGTGCTATGGCAAAGGCTGTGAATACTTATGTACATGTGATTTGTCGTTTTTTTTTTATTTTGAATAAATTTCCAAAGCTTTCAAACAAACTTCTTTCACATTGTCATTATGGGGAATTGTTTGTAGAATTGAGAAATAAAATGAAATGAATTTAATCCATTTTGGAATAATTTATTTATTCATTCATTCATTCATGGGGATTAGGAGGGTTGGATGGGTTTCAAAGGGTCAGCTTGTTCTGTTTATTGTGAAGAAGATTTTGGACAATTGCATATAAATAGCACCACAGTATTACCACCTGATACGGTCAAAGTACCACAGTATCACCACAGTAGATTTTCTGAGGCAATTCTTTCATCTTGCCAGTAATATGGATACACACAAATGCAAATGTGTATGTGTGTGGCGTAAAAACCCACGGTGATACACTGATTACCCATAATACCTCTCTTTTATCTCTAAATAGATCAGCTTGATATCACTCTTACACGTTAAATGAGAGGATTTGCTCCTTTATCCAAGTGTCAGTGTTTCAGAGCTGCAGCTCAAAGGAAAGTTTCTGCCTTCAAGTCACCGTTGTCTGAATGATCATATTTATGAGATGAGAGCACATGAACGGCACCATAACCCTCGGAAAATGTATTTGTGGCACTGCCAGAAGTTTGCCACAGGGGCTTCCTGAACGCTATGCTTTTGTAAGGGGATGTCTTAATTAGCAGTGAGGAAACTGGAGATTTCTGGGGTTTTCTGAGGCAAAATCATACCAGAACCTAATTGGTACCGATGATAAAGAGGTTTGATTATAATAACTGTCGACAAAACAATTCCGTTTATATATTTTATGTACTGTTGATGAAGAACTTGCAGAAAATCATTCTCTTATGACCATCCTTTGCTCTTCGTTTTGCATTTCGTCTCATTAGCATTAAAAAGTATTTGGCAGTAGGTGGAAAAAATAGAGAAAGTTTCATTTGGATTTGACCAAAATCATTTTAACGCACATCATGTCGTAATTTTTCGTAAGCAAGGCAGCATAAGTGCATTTATGGGGGTTAAAGACCATTTCACACTATTTGTCCAAAGTTTGCTTCAGTGCAACAAAGCATTTGCAAAACAAAAGGCTTGATTAAAGCTGATGACGTGGTTCAGAAGTCAATATTTGCTAATGATGTTTGCTAAAGAAACATGATCATTATACATCGTCGGCTGAGCCCTCACCTTTTTCAATTTTCATAACCCTGTTTTATGCTTCAGGGAACCAAACAGGACCAATTATCAAAAACAAACGAAAATACCAGCTTACAGAAATAACAGCTTCAGATATTTTGTCAAATTACGCAGTGGTTTTATTGTTATGGCAAACTGTAATCAATTGGATGCAGAGTTTTTGGTTTAAAAAGTGCAAAAGCCACTGATGTGTGAAAAGCTATCAAGAAGCACGGTTAAATTTTCCTTTTTTGAGTTAAAAAATGTTTTGTCTTCAACTGATGTGGTCATGCTGTTTTGGCATATAACTAATAGCCTGGAAACACACAAAACGTGTCACTTAATCATCACTTGGACAATATCACATCCAAAACGCAGTTCAGATGAGGACTCTGATCATAAATCAAGAAGAGAAACTATAAGAGGCGACGTGCCTTGCTTTGCCTTTCCTCGGACGTCTTTTGAGAGAAAAAAAGAGCTTGAGTCTGATATCTTGATATGGTTATAATCGAAAGCCCCGGGGTATGAATATGAATTTAACGAGCACAAGAGGGAAGAGCTCTCGCCAGCTCACCGGCCGCGTCTAATCTATTAAGTGTGAAAAAGGTGGGAAAGACTAGGCTGGACTGACTTTTAGGACGCATTGCTGAGGTTTTGTGTTAGGATCAGCTTTTCTTTTGTGTTTTCTATCTGCTTCAGAACATTGCAACCCTAATTCAGTACACATTTCCAGCTTGTTTGTGTAATACCTTTGGATTAATGTTGGAGACTAAACGTTCCCAACAACAATAAAATAAAAATGATGAGACAAACAAACAAATCAAAAGAATTCATTATTAATTTCAACCCTAATACGTTTCATATTTTTGACTTGTTTGTGTAGCACCTTGTGTTTGTGTTCTCAAATGGATGGATGGCTGCCTACACTCTTAAAAATAAAGGTGCTTCACGATGCCATAGAAGAACCTTTGTTGTCTAAATGGTTCCATAAAGAACCTTTAACATCTGAAGAACCTTTCTGTTTCACAAAAGGTTCTTTGTGGCAAAAGAAGGTGCTTCAGATCATAAAAAAGGTAAGAATGAGATGGTTCTTTGACTGAATGGTAAAAAATGAGTGTAGCAGGATAGATAATGAATGACTGGACAAAGAAAGAAAGAAAGAAAGAAAGCTCTCTTGCCACAAATAGAGATCTTGGCACAGCCTGTAGTGGCTTATTGCTTTAATTGCCTCAATCTGAGAACACGACCATCATGATTTTCATTAAAACATTAACATATTCAGGAATGACTGCTCACACTCACCATATTGAGTGACTGTGGCAGAAGTCCAGAGCTGAGATGATCTGTCTGAAGAACTTTCGAGCTTCTTTGGGTGTTAATCGGCCCTTCTTTACCAGATAGTCAAACAGCTCTCCACCTGACACGTGCTCTAAAACCAAATACCTGCAAACAAGACAGAGAGAAATAACGTTATATACTCTGACATGATTCTTACTGAAACAGGGAGTTTATGCAGAACATATAGATGAGCCAGACTTTGTTTTATATAACAGTCCTTTTGTGTATGATGAACCATGGCTGAATTTGGAATAGCAGACATTGTGTACTACTTCTTAGATATAAAAATGAACTAAAAATATTAAGGTAGTATGCTAGAATGTTATTCTAAATTCAGCCCATGACTTACTTGTAATTGACCTATCGGTAACCCCCGCCCCCTTAGTTACTGCTGCTCACTCTTACAATGACAGCTGTCAGTGTGAAAACCTTGTCACAGGATGTTTTTTTTTTTATGGACACAGAAGGACCATCATTCAAGTGGGACTTAAATATGCCATGGAGGGATAGATAAAATATATTCAAATAAATATGTAAAAATACAGATCACAATACAATTACAATTACGATTGTCACGATCGCAATGACAACATCCTGGATCAACACCGTTCATGTACTGCAGTGTAAGATTAAATTAATTTACATTTAACCAGTTTAATATGGAGAGGCACTAAAATGTTGACCTTCGTTTATGTGTTTTGACCTACACTGTACATGACGTGAGAACAGTCTGCTATTTAGGTTTGTACGTTAGCATGGACTCGCTAACTTTAACGTTAGCTATAGTTTTAGCCAGAGATACCTTGCTAAAGCACAAAATGAGAATACGGCAACCAGAAAATGAACGTTTTCGTCTTCATTGGGATTGGGGTTGAATGCTTAGGGACATTTTGCTCTGTTTTGTTTGGGTTTAGGAAATGGAATAAAGTATAAAGTATAATAAGTGCCACAGGCACATCGTTTTATTATTTTTGTAGCATAAACACCATCAAACCGATGAATGCTTCGGATCTTCCAATGCTTCTCTATGGCGCTGAAACCTAAAGATGTCCGAGTTCCGGTTCGTGTGCAACTGATACTCAACTGCCATTGGCTCATCTGCGTTCGAGGGGAGGGGCTTACCAATAAGTCAATTGTTAGTCAGTGGCAGTTGGTATAGAGTGCAACCAGGGGCGCCGTAAGGGGAGGTTAGGACGATTTTAAGGGCCCGGAAAGTGGGGGCCCGAGTGGATATGCTGTCCAGGGGGCCCAGCAACTGTAGCGGCACCCCTGAGTGCAATTGTTGGGTTTCGGTGGTTAAAAAAAAATTATAAATTAAAAAAAAAACTTTTTTCAAATTTTTTCAGAACAGGAGAACTGATTTTGTACGATAATTTATAAACCTTTAAAGAAAGACCTACTGTAAGCTATGAGGTTGTAATCGATAGTATATGCTATATACATATTTATATACATATTTTTAAATAATCACATTCACTAGCAGAATTCCTGGTGTAAAACTACATTACCCATAATTCTGCTGAGGAATTCCACCAATCAGTGAATTGCAACAAGCAAATTGAGACAAAAGATCTCTTTTAACTCCCTTAAAGCACTGCAAATTATGTAATGTGGCTCCATCCAAAATCACATACTTCCCTACTATTAGGCAAAAAACAGTGCACATTTGATGGACACTTAACTATCCCATGAGGCCACGAGAGTGGATTTGCAGTAAATCAAGCAACTGACGAATGTAGATTACATTCATAGTCAATAGTGTATATTCTTCATCATTTATAATTTATTTACGCAATTCGCAATGCTTCATGAGATTGTAGATTTTTCTCTCGTGGACAAAAATTTGATTGGACTAGACCAGGGTTCCTCAAATCTTGCCCTGGAGGGCCAATGCGCTGCAGAGTTTAACAATAAACATGGTAAAAAGTGCAGTATTACCATGATAAGTGATGTGAATTATAAAACCCGTGGAGTGCTTCCAAACTGACAAGAATACATAGAAGTGACGAGGTAAACAGAAACAAACAACACGATTGGTAGTGTAAGATTACTTTTACATAATAGCGCAAATTAATAAAGAGAATCATATTTTAGACATATATTGATATTTGTTTTGTAATTTTTGCCCCATTAGCAAAATAGGTCAAAATGAAGTCACAACAATCATCCAAAGTGTCTCTGAGTAACACACAGTAGAATTGATTCAGCTCTTAATGAATCAGTGTTTGAACAAATTGGTTGAGTGAATGATTCAATTAAATCACTTGTCGCCACCTAGTGAAAGTCACTGAAAGAAGTAATAACACCATGACACTGTGTTATATAGTGTAGAATGGGTCATATTCATATACCATGGCAAGAATGGTAAACACGGTAAAAAAAAGTACATATTACCATGATGCCAAGTGATGTAAAAAAAAAAATGTATAAAACTCATGCGGTGCTTCAAAACTGAAGAAAGTATAAACAAGTGAGTTTATAACAGTTTAAACAGAAATTATGAGGTAAACAGAAATCATTTTTATGAAGATTTGTTGATGCCAAAAAATGCTAAGTGAATTATCATGGTGTTTACATGTCATGAAGGATGACTCGTGGCCCCATTAGCAGCTTAGCTGCTTCACACTTTCATCATTAGGAGTGTTTTAGCACCAGCAGAATCACTTTCTTACAAAACCTCTTAAGATCAAACACATTTACACTTGCATTTCTGCCAAACTGTTAGGCTATAGACACCAAACTTGTTTGTTTTTGCTCTACACTCACATTTTGGGTTTGCAATCTTGATCATATTTCATCTTTATTAAATATTTATTTATTTATTATACTTACAAATATTTCTTATTTTCATAGACGTCGTGCAACTTTAATACATGTGGATGTTCTATTAGCTTCAAGATGGCGATCTCTCGCTCCACCTGTGGAGAAATAAGATAAAAAAATATATATTGAATTCACAGCACCAATAATTCAACTATAGTAAGCAGCAATACTAATCAAATATAACATGTAACATTTCATTCATTCATTTATCTATCTTTCATAAATGAATACTGACAAAACCTATAATGGGTACTTTACACATTGTCATACAAACAATCAGTAGTTAGATATAAGATCAAGCTGCATATTTCTGATTCACTAAAATAACCGACTTATTGATGTCATTTTTTCGGGAATCGACCTGTACTGGCCACATTGTATGTTTTTGATTCACTAAAAACAATTGTCTCATAAGATTCATTTATTCATGAATTGGACTGTACAGTGTGGTGCATTTCCTAAAAGCATCATTAGCTAACTATGTAGTCGCAAGTTCCATTGAACTTGGTCACGACGGAACTTGCAACCATAGTTCCTTTTGGGAAACCCCTGGTCGCATTTTATGTTATTGATTCACTACAAAGAATCGACTCATTAGAGTCATTCACTCAGGAATCAAACTGTACTGGTCATGTTTTAGGTTTTTGATTCACTAAAAATAATAGACTCATTAGAGTCATTTATTCGGGAATTGGACTACACCAGCTGCACTGTATGTTTCTGGTTCACTAAAAGAACTGACTCATTGGTGTCACTGTTCGGGCAGTGTATGTTTTTGATTCACTAAAAAGAATCAACTCATTAGAGTCATTCGTTCAGGAATGGGACTGTACTGGTCGAGTTGTATGTTTTTAATCACTAAAAACAACTGGCTCTTTACGGTCATCAATTTGTGATTCAGACTGTACTGGTAGTGTTTTATGTTTCTGCTTATGTTTCTATGTTTCATTAAAAGAAACAACTCCTTGGAGTCATTAATAATATATTCCGATTCACTAAAAGAACCAACTCATTAGAGTAATTTGTGTGAGAATTGGACTACATGGATCGCTGTGTTTTACGTGAATCATTTAACCCTAGCTAGACGGTTTGGCCAAGCCAAATAGACAACATTTCTGTGATTTGGACCGAGTGACCTTCAATATGTCACTGCAACTGCAATGTTTGAACTGATACTGCAGTAGTTGAGACCTGAGAGCAGCCAAATTGCAACTTGAACTCTGAGAGGTTTCATAAATGTAAAATGAAAAATGATAACAGATCGGCCACAAAACCCTCAAGTTCAGATGCCCATGTCAAGTAGAGCAGACCTTTGCAGAATTCTTCAGGAACAGTCCATAGTGCTACTTTGATACATAAGCATCCTTGTCAGTCTATTGAATAGACTATGCTTATAAATGGATTCCCACATGCACAAGATAAACATATTTTCTCATTGAATCAAGCTTAGGACGACTTATAAGGCGAGTCTACATGAAAGATCTCTCTGACCTGACAGGGAACCAAAGGAAATCTTAAAATCGCAAAAGAACTGAGCTCATAAGTCACAGACCGAACCTAAGATTGTGCCAGTTGTAAGCAAGACAATCGTGTTTGATTTACATCACTGTCTTCTGGAATAATCCTAGCATGCACACCTGCCACTGCAGATCAGAGCGGAGGATGGGGACGTAGACGATATTTCCCGAACCCACCTGACCCTAATGTTCCACAGCAGCACTTTGCTCGTGCCTCTCGAAACCTACTGAATTACTTGCGCTCATCCAACCTCACTACACTCCAGTACAGACCGCTCATGTGACTCAAGTCAGCGGTCCCCAGTGCTTTGAACTCTGTGGAGTCAGCCTTCAAGCTTCAGTTGTAACTCTGCAGCTTGACTTTGACCCTGTTTGCTGTTGACCTTTGAAATCGCAGCCAGTGATGTACAGAACATTTGCATCATGCATGACACAACGACACAAAGTCATTCAGAGAAAAACATTCCTAATTCTAGAAGATCCCACCCCCCTCCTTGAACTTAATGAAAATTTCCACCACATCTCAGTTGATGTTTTGTGTTTGAAACATTCTCTTATGAAAATTACATTTGAACATTTTTGGAATAAACGGACCACCTTCTTAATCTTGCTATGGTTAAATTAATTGGTATTTTGCTACATTGCATTTTATGCATCCTAAATACATCAAATTAAATAATAATTTCACTTTTTTGCATAATTTGACACAATTAGACAATCCAAACTTGACTGGAAATGACACAATAAAAATATTCTGCTCACAAATATTTTTTTACCTTGATATTTTACTCTTTGGGTTGGTAAGATGTTTTTGAAGTGTCTTATGTTCAATAAGGTTGCATATATGTGACCAAAAATATAGTAAAAACAGTAATATTGTGAAATATTATTAAAATTTTAAATAATTGTTTTCTATTTGAAAATATCAAGATCATCTGTGATCAAGAAACATTTCTGATGATCCATTTTGAAAACAGTTGAGCTGCTTCCTATTTTTGGGAAACCATGATACATTTTTAAGGAATTTTTGATTAATTATATGTTCAAAACAACCGTATTTGTTAAAATATAAATTATTTGTAACATTATGTCTTTACTATCACTTTTGATCAATTTAATGCATCTTTGCTGAATAAAAATAAAATAATAATGTTATTAAAAAAAAAACTCTTGCTGACCCAATGGAAAAATAGTGTACCTCCTTATTTTATTCACACATATATCATGTTTCATCTCAAGTTCTACACTGACATTGTGAAAGAAATCACAAACTTTTGAAAGAAAGAAAAAAATTATGGTGGAAACGATGATGAAAAAAACTATAAATAAATAATTCATTAAATTATTAATGGTTAAAAAAGATATTCAATTATTGTGTCACAATACATTTGACATTTGTTTACGAGTATTTCACTCGGATTATATTACCATAGTTTGAAAAATGTAATATTTCTTATATTTTTCATGCATTTTAATATTGAAATAATCTGGGACAAGAATAAATCAAATCCACAATAAAATCATACATACAGTAAGTGCCATTTGAAAATGTAAAAGTTACCAAGACTTAAACGTGAACATTATATAACGTAAGAAGAAGCTCAAATCTGTTAGTTTTAATAAAACCAACCCTTGGGACATAAAGTACAACTGGAAGTGAAAGAAACCCAATTCTGCGGCCCACAGGTTTGTTCCCCACGAGGAGAACGATCACCATTGTTCCCTTCAGCAAAGCACTTAAACCCAGGTTTCTCCAGAGGGGACTGTCACTGTAATCATTTGTGCCGCTGCTCTATGCTGAAGTCGTGAAAACACATTCGGTCCTGCTATATGTGGCAAAAACATAAAGATCCTGAGCCAAGCTAATCCAATCTGTCCTAACATTCTATAACTAGCCTCAGTATTCTGGTAAATACCTGGATTGATTTGGTTTCATCAACTGACATCATCTGCACAACATTGAGTCAAAGTCCTTCACTTGCTGTTTTAATCAGGCATACAGATGTGATAGGACTATTCAGGGAGTAAACAATCTGGCCAATGGCTGAAGAGAGAGCTGGAACAGCCACGGAAATCCCAGACAAAGCCATCTTGACAAACGTGGCACCAGACCAAACCTCACTGAATGGCTGATCCAAAGCCAGTCCGAAGAGCCAAGCAGTGGAATGTCATTCAACACAAGGATGTGCCACAGGATCTCTGCTGAGCATAAACTGCGCTCAGGGGCTTGAGGAAAGCCATGGGATGAGAAATCTCTACTGCTGAATACTACTCAATAAAAGCAAATGAAGTTAGGCTGAGGAGGTCTATAATAGCAAGAAAAAGCTATCCGTAAGCATTACAGCAGCATTCATCTCAATGGCAGTAGCTCAACAGGCACATGCCAACTTGAAAGTTTGTGCGCTGGCAAATTTGATCAATTCCGGAAACTTTTTTTTTGTTGAGCAAATCACATAAGCTGTAAAAAAGTAGTAACCATCAAGTAAAAAGTAATAACATATTTTTAATCACACTCTGAATATGTATGCGAGTCTACATTATTTTCAATATATATAGGTTTTTGGGGAGTCGCACAACATGACATTTTACCACCTAAACTAAACTTGCCTTGTCATAAGAAGGTCAAATTATGGAATATGTTAATAGACTTATTGACCAAGACAAACAAAATTGATGTAATTTGCTATTTTGTATTATTTGTTTCTGCATGTTGGTTGCACCACATGACTTTAGTCATGCCTCTTGTGCAATTTCAAATAATAATAAGCAACAAAGCAGTTTTGTTCATTTAGTTTTATTCTAAAACAGTAATAAATTTGATGCCAAATCAGGTGTTATTTTCAAGAATTTCATCATTTTAATCTTTTTTCTTCATTATTATATCAGAACAGTTCACCTTAACCTTTTCGACTATGTAAAAAAAAAAAAACAGGAATTAAAAACGTTCATCATAGAAAAGGTGTATTCAAGACACTGTACATAGGAATTTCCAAAAAAAACCTCACCTATTTGACCCAGATGCCCTAAATCTGTCGTCTCAAAGTATTAAGGTCTAAATTATGAAATGATTAGTGCTAATTAGACTGTAAATACATTTTAAAAGTTGAAGTTGAAAGTGGTACAAAAGTGATTGCAAATATCGATTTTAAGCACTGATTGTCTATGACAAGCCCTTGAAATAGCTCTTCTAAATCTGTGAAACTTGGAAGCTCCGTGGCAGCAGTAGCGTGAATTTATTCCTTGTGATTAAAATGTTGCTGCAAATGAGCCTGACTCTCTCCTCCGTCCATTAACATCATGTCCACCCTACGCTCGCCAACTTCTCATTGCTCCATCTAACCATATTGACCCATTCCCTCAAAATGTCAGTTTGCCGGCACCTGTGCACCTACTTCTATGAATAGCCGAGCGTTAATTAACTCTACACATCTGTGTGCATGCAGCCATCCAATTTCCATATAACTTCATTAGTGAGTTATTACACCAGGTCTGGCCTCGACTCCACGCCACTTTGAGTCAACGTGGGCCGGCGGAGATTCGGGTTCAGGTTGCAGGTTCTTGATTTGTGGGAGTGAGTT